TGTGCGTGTTCCCTGGCTGAACAATGAGAAGATCCCAACTGCTGCTCCCCCTCTCACTCTACAGGAGTTAAATTCGGGGTTGGAAGTGTTGTGCAGTCTCACAGAAGCAGCCATGAATGCTGCTGCTGTGTATCTTTGACCTGAGCTGATGCAGAGGCAGCTCTGGGAAGGAGAGTTTCCATGGCCCCTTGTGCAGCGTCACCTTTGCCACGTGCGGGCACCAGGGACAGCGCAGGACTGCACATCCCGCGCTGCTGCGTGGCTGAGGGTGGATCAGGATGGAGATCAGTGGGAACTTGGCAGCCAAGTAGGACAGCTGGCAAATAAATGAAGCCAGATAACGATGTCCAAAGACAATATGCCTTTTAAATTAGGTTCACTTGGTTAATGCCAAAAGTAGGGATGAATGTGACTGGCTGATTAATGCTGAAGGCTACTTTTTGTTTATCCCTATTGAACATTTTGATCTCTGTTTATGCTGTAACAAATCTGTTCTCAGCTTGCTATTCAAACAGAAGCTTTTGTCAGTTTTTCTGTTTATGTGCAATTTTTCTTCTACACTTTGTTCATCTGGCTTATGAACAAAGGTATAAAATTGAATTGATTATTAATTGCAACGCATGTTGCTAAAACATGATTCAGACTTAATAGAAATCAGATGAATGGAGAGTCGTCCTTTGGCCAGTGCAGTGACAGGTTATATATATTTGTGGTGTTATTTTGTAACATAGGCTATAATGTGAATTCTGTGCCTGATCTGACATCAAAGTGAAAATCTATGGTCTGGGAGGAATTCCTCAGTATGTGCATAACCCACCCCAGTCTTTTGTCTCACTCACTCATTGCCATGTGTGAATAGCTGTCATAGCAGCAGAGCTGGATGTATTTCCCCCTGTGCCTTCCCACTCATGACATGAACACAATGTAGGTTTTTTGACGGTTTGAGATCAAGACCATTCACTTCCATTTATGTGTTTCCAAAAGGAAAAGCTAAGGCCTATTGATGAAATTCCTGGTAAGGAAAGAATTTGTAGACATTGCTGTGGTGCTTCAGGACTTCAGCCTGAAGGGAGTTAATTTTTCACACCACTACTACAATGCCTGCACTACCTTTGTGCTGAGCATCTGCTTCTGCAATATGTTGGTAGTTAGAAGCCCAAGGAGGTCAGTTCAGACCTGTTTAGTTGATGCTAACAGGAATGGGTTGTAAATTCCAGAGAGCTGCTAGTGAAGGGGCTGGACACAGGGTTGGGGCTTCATCTGTTCTCTGCCAGTAGCTGCCTGTGTGTAGGAGGGTCTGGATGGTTATTGTAACATCATTCAGTTTTCCAAAAATGCTTGTAGTGTAAGGGGCAAGAAAGAATCTGTACAAAAATACTGATACTATGCAAGTAATGGTTTAGACAAATGTCATCTGCAGAGGGGCTGCTGGGGAAAGTTTCTGTTTAAAACAAACAAACAAACAGGCTTGCAGAAAGTAGTGAAAAAACATTGGAAGTAAATCTATTTTTTACTAATAAAGAGTTTTAAGAGGGTTTTTTAATGATGTCTCAAAAAAAATACTGTTTGATGTTACTTTTTCATGGTAAGTTTAATTGCTTCAAATGGTCACAATGGCCAAGGATGGTTAGAAGTGCAAATGCTTCAGACCATGAAATCTTTACACCACCCTTCTTTCCCTTCAGAAGGTTCACATGTAATCTGCATTGTTTAAAGGTTTTATTCTGCAGCCTTGAATGGGATTGGCACTGTAAGGAGCTTGTGCTTCTCCTGCCAATGTACAAGTCTTCTCCCCTGTGGTACAAAGAATAAAGCAAAGGCCTATAATTGATGTGCTGCACAGGAAAGCCTGTTCTGTGTGCCTGTCTCCTTGCTGGCTTTTGAGCAAGCAAACAAGATGTATAATTAGTGGCAAATGAAACCTCACTTATACTTACAGTAAGGGAGATGGAGCACTGGAACTGGGGGGTTATGGAGTCTCCATCTCTGGAGATAATAAAAACCTGCCTGGATACAGTCCTGTGTAAAGGGCTCTAGGTTATCCTACTTCAGTGGGAGAGTTGGACTGGATGATCTCTAGACTCCAGCAATTCTGTGATTTGAGCTACCAGCTGGAGTTAAAGCTGTGATGTTGGCATTTTTCATTTCGTTGTTTATGTGTTAAATATGGATATTTCTCCCATCTTATTCTGCTCATCTGAAAATGACATTGTGTTCAAATACCTGCATGGTCAAAGGTGTGTTGCCAGAGCATGATGTGTCATTGCCACCCGAGACAGTTTCCTAATATCAACGTGAGAAGAGACATTCCTGAAGACCAGAGCATGGACAATATCTCCCAGTGTCTCTTGGCAGGATTTAAAACAGAATAAAAATAGCTGAGAAAACTCTGCACACAATTAATCACTGGAGGACACTTCTGTACCTTGTCTCCATTTCTTGCCTCTCCCTGCCCCCTCATAGCAGGATGTAATCCTAGTACTCTTGCAGCTCTGGCTCTGCCTTTCCTCAGGAGCTCAGAGGGTTCTGGCCCATTATGGAACAGGGGAGGGGGTTTTTGTTCAATCTACTTTATGAGTCAAAAAGTAATAAACTTGGGGAAGGTTAATGGACATACATTTAGGAAAGGAAACAATAAGGCATTGTATGCATCTGTGTTTACAATTTTGGAACTGTGTGCGGATTAGTTGTTGTTAATTATTTGATTTAGTCCTTATTTTGGGCAGTATAACTGTGTCGTTTTGCACACACTTCTGCTTACCAATCTCAGAATCCCTTCCAAGCTCACATGAGTAGTTAATGGCTGAGAACACAATTGTGGATCCCTGGCCCTAGTAGTTCTGCTCCCTGGAGCACCAGTTGCCATGCTGCAACAAACAAGCAGTTAAATTCCTCTTTTAAAGAGAGGGGTTTATGTCCTTAATGAGGGCATGCAGATGAGTTTGCATGAAATGCTATCAGGTGGGAATTACTCATGAAACTCAAACACAAGTATTTTAAAGATAGGTATACTTAAAAAGTTACATTTGTCTCTGTATGCAGTCTGATATTCATGGGATAGTTATGTGCTGTTGTCTGCTTCCCTGCCATGCAGGTGGAATACGATATAATCAGTCCACGTTACCAAGTGAAACTGGGCTTGCAGAGGCCCTGACACCTTCTTAACAGCAGTAGAGTGTGACCAGATTGATGATATCTGTAGACTTGCCAGCCTGTGTTTCCCAAGCTTGTGCTACTTTGGATAAACCAGTCCATGTCAAAGGTGAAAAGTTCTCCTGCTGTCCTCATCTGTTCTCTTAATCTGATGTTTGTGCATTTGAAAGCCATTTAATTTCTCACTATCTCAGATCAGTCACTAATCCCCACTCATTTAGTGTGCTGAGATCACAGGGAAGAAAGATTGTTTTCCAAGCTCTGTGTTGTAATGCCATTTGCTTCACAACCTGCTGACTAAACCCCTCAGTGTGTTGCCCTGCCAAGAGACAGGACGTGCCTCCCTTCTGTCTGAGGAGCAGCAAAGTCTTCTGCCCAGGAGATTGTTGCTTCAGGCCAGAAACACTGTGGGGTTTAGTCAGCAGCATTTTGAGCAAATGGTCTTACAACACAGGAGTTAGACACTAACCTCCCTCCTGCAGTGCTGATGAAAAGGGCATAGCATCACTCTTTCCAGAAAGGCATTTGTAGTAGGTCTCTGTCTTACAACAGGCTGAACTAGAATGATTTCTGCTCTTCACCTGGACGTTGCAGAGCATCACATCTTCATCTTGTCCTTGTTGGGTTATGCCACACTTCTCCTTGGCAGCCATGAAAGCATGTCAGATGCCTTCTCAGTATGTAGGATGCTATAATTCCCACTGAAGCTAGTAAGAAAGAGCTGCTGGGCAGCCCTAGATTCAAGGTAGCTGTCTTAAACCTATTTGGCCTCTTTTACTCTCCCAAAAAGATGAGTTAGGCTTGGGCTTTTCATTCTGTGGTTGCTAGTAGGAGGATGAGCTGCAGAATAAAACCTGTTACTACAGAGTATGAATAGCAAAAGGCAAAGTTCCTAACATAAAGATGGACACAACTGATCTAATAGTAGCCAGTTTCATGCTGTAACCAAGATGAAAGAGCATCAGTTAGTGCTGCAAATTACTGCATTCATTGAGTGGTGTGAATCTTTTTCTTGTTGCTACAAGTAAGATAGAATTGTCTGTTCCATAGAAGAACAGGTGAGTTCTCACAGTGAATTGTTTTGCTGGTCTTTTTTTACTGTCAGAGGGTATAAGTGAATGAATTCTATGAAGTTCACCTAGTCACTTTTCTGGGGAAAATGCAGCTGAAATCCGTATCATCCACAGGCATTGTTAACACTGCAGATTCAATTGTCTTCAACATTTTTTTTCTGTTATTTTTTTCCTTGTGTGTGCACATACATCATGGCTTTTATTTTCATCCCTGAAGTCATGTTCCTACTATTGAGCTGCTAGAAGGTTTGTACATACTGGCTCTCATCCTCAGTAGCCTTCACAGTTCGTGTCAAATGGCTCTGTTGTTGCTTTGCTGAGTTTTAAGCTTGCATTAAAAATTCTAAGTTAATTATTACATTCAGTTTGAATCCATGTGAAACCAGTTATGCTTTCAGAGTTTCTATCTGAAATTATGACTTTCACCCTGGCTTTGTGATCTCTGTGGATCAGGTTGGTGACCTTTGCCAGGTTCTGGCAGCTTCTTGTCAGAATTGGTTCCCATGTTTGGGCATTTGTCTGCGTCACAGGACAAAACAAACTGTGTGGGCATGTGAATTAATTTGGTCCTGGAGCCTGAATCTATAAAGGTATGTGTGCTTTTTGCTGAGGATTTAATAGACTGTGCTGGAGGGAGTGAGGGAACCAATAGGCTCTGACCTTTATTAGGATTTTCTTGCTGTAGAGGTGTTTGAAAACGGGAATAAAGTGATTATTGTATTCTGTATTTTCTAAATGGATGTTTTTAATTGCTGTTTCTAATATCTTTTCTAGAACCACCCAGGGTTGTCATTTCCCCTAAGAATCAGACTTTTACAGAAGGTTCTGAAGTGTCTATCAGGTGTTCTGCAACAGGGTATCCAAAGCCAACAGTAGTATGGACACACAATGACATGTTTATCATTGGTTCAAGCAGGTAGGGGTTGTAGCTTCCTCTTTTTTTATTTTTTCCCATATGTGAGAAAGCAGTTTAGAAGAATACCAAAGTATTCTGACTAGTTCTTCCACTGTAGCCTGTGAGTTTTGGAAATAGTACCTCAACCTTCACCTTTACAGCTCTTTGATTTTTGTATCTGTCAAATAGAAATACCTTAGCTTGTACAAGTTTAAATGGTTTTCACAAAATGCATTTATATTATCTGCTAGATACAATAACATTAGTATTGTTTTACAATGAGAAAAAAACACCAATACCTGCTTATAAACCATCTGGTCATGTTGTTGCTGCTTGGAGTGTGGATTGAACAGTTACTCTCTGTGTTTTAACTAATCATTTTGGTTGGTCCACTGTGTGTTCCCAGGTACAGATTGACTCCAGAAGGCACCTTAATCATAAGAAAGACAGTTCCAAAAGATGCAGGAATTTATGGTTGCTTGGCAAGTAACTCAGCTGGAACAGAGAAACAGATATCCATCCTTATCTACATTGGTAAGAAAAAGAAGCAATGTAATGAAATTTAGAAAGCAAACACAGTATAAGGGAGGAACTGTTAAAATTAGTGTAACCATACAGAATGTGCTGGTAGAAATTGCAGGAAACTTACAAATGTTGAACAGTTCACAAATATCTCTTTTGTTTCCTGTTCAAATCTGAGTAGTAGTATTATTAGGTGATATTTGGGTCTTATTTCTTTTTACACAGTTTTTAAGGAAAAAATACAGCAAACAAACTGAAATTGGGTATTAAAGTGGGGTAGGTTTGCAATCCTGTGTAGGCATTTAGAAAAGGAATTCTGTTATTGTCAATTTCTGTAGTGTGCTTAGCACCCTGGAGTCCAAATCTTGTACTCTGAACACTACATGAATATATTAATAGCAGGCTACTGGAATTCTCGATGACCAATTCTCGATGACTGGAGTGAGAGAGACTGAATCTTTTTATTTTCTACATGATCAAACTCTTTCCTTAAATTCTATGTGTGGTCCTGGTGCTCTGAACATTCCAGACTTTACTTTTTCCTGTTTCCCAGTGTTCGTCACCTTACATGATTTTTAAGGCTTTCTGACTTCTAATACAAATTTTCTTCCATATAACTAGACAATTAGAGTATTTCATGCTTTATTTCTTAAAAATACTGTATGCTTTGCATGTGGAACTCATCTTTTCTTCTATATTGTTTCTTTTTAGAGGGCCCAACGTTGACTGTAGTTCAAAGTGAAATTCTGGTTGCTCTGGGAGACACAACTACTATGGAGTGTAAAACAACTGGAATCCCGCATCCCCGAGTTAAATGGTTTAAAGGTGCACGACTTTGATTTATTTATTGTGGCAGAAGGATTTAAAACAATGACCCTGAAGTAACTTTGTGTTTTATTTATTTACTGTAGCAGGAGGATTTAAAACAATGACCCTGAAATGACTGTTTTCTCAGAAGCTTTAAGTAGTATCAAACTAATGGGTGACGTGAAATTCTCTAAATCTAGAAGATTCAGCACTTGACCTTTAGGGTATAAATTCTTGCTCCTACTTAAACACAGTGAATGAACATACTATAGCATCAACTTCAAAAAGAAAAAAGAAAAGAAAGCCTGAGCCTCTTGTCTACTTAAATAAGGTTTATGATTTTGACAGAAAATGTCAAATTCTAAATTCTACAAAAATTGCAAACCATCTCTCTGTTTTTCCCATTGGATGTTTGCTTGAGTTCTGTTATATCACCCTGAGAATTTTTATTTGTTCCTTCTTCCAAATCTCAGAACTATCTACTACAATTACCTGGATAGTGGAGCAGGATATTGGGTATCACAATTGCAGGAGTTTTCCTAGAGTTAAGTGGGAGTCAGAGAATCCCAGGTCTCAACACTGAATGTTTATTTTTGGAAAAGAGCAGTCGATGCCTGCGTGTGGTTGTATAAAGCACCTGCCTGCTGATTTTCTGGAAAACCAGAGATCTTGTTAGCTAGATACTGCCAACAGATAACTTATCCAGTCCAATCCTGCATCTCTGACAGTGGCTGGAGGGAAGCACAAACCCTGTCTGGTCTGTTTGCAAATAATCTTCCATCAAAGGAACCTTCTTCTGAACGCACTGCAGTTAATACTTGGCTTGCGTTTTAAGGCAGGAGTCGACGGGCTTTGATACTCATCCCAGAGAGCACATGGGGCCAAATCTGAGTGTTGCACAGCAGTGTGTGGCTCCTGCTGAGCCTGGGAGGTAGCAGAGCTGTTTGCTGGGTTTTGTGGAGTTCCCAGCTGGGTACAGAGCGGGCAGACGAGCAGCCATCACATGTAGCTTCTAATTTGGGAAGGAGAAATATCGCCTGGCACACGGTCCTAATGCTGGTCTCTGTCCAAAGATGCTTGGGTTTGTATTCCCCTTGTGAAACAAAGAAGAAGGGGTTGTGTCTCTCGTAGTAAGGAATTTTCCACTCAGTTGAGTGGAAGTCAGAGAACTCATCTGCTGAATGAATACATGCATGTCATGAACTAATCTCAAACTTGGACTCTGTTTTGTTAGAACAATTTTGGTAAATACCCTGTTACTGACTTTTTTTTCAGTTACTTTTTTTTCTGTCTGGGCTTAGGTGACCTAGAGTTGAGGGAATCGCCATTTCTCATTATTGATACTCATCGGGGTCTTTTGAAGATCCAGGAAACACAAGATCTGGATGCTGGTGACTATACCTGTGTGGCTACCAATGATGCAGGGAGAGCTTCTGGAAAGATAACTCTAGATGTTGGCTGTAAGTAGTTTGCAATCTAGACAGTCTAATTTTAGTGTTTCTGGGTCTGGTCGATGGTGCCTTGTTTATTTGAACCTTTCTTGTAAATATGTCCTCAGTCTATCTCTGTGCTGAGAAGACCTTTTGGTGGTGTTCAGTAAGCTGTTTCCTTGTCGTATTTGGACTCCAATTTTCCTTTACTCTTACTACTTTTGCAAAGCAAGAAAGTTAAGGGGAGGAAGAGAGAGACAGAGGAGGAGGAAGCTGATAAAACCTCAACCTAGTTCTTCACTGGAACAGGTTACCCAGGGAAGTTGTGGTTGCCCCATCCCTGGAAGTGTTTCAAGTCCATGTTGGATGGGACTTGGATGATCTTTAAGATCCCTTCCGATCCAAACCATTCTGTGACTCTTAACATAGTTGTGCAGTAGAGAATATATTACAGTAACTGAAGTTACTATGTAAGGTTACTGTAATTTGGCCTGTCCTCTCCTGCTTTCCTAGTTCTTTCTAACAGTACCCTGACCCACCAGGTCTTGTTAACTGCATGTTCCTGTCATGTGCAAACCCTTTCTGAAGCAACAAGCAATGCTGTTTGAAGGGGAGGAGGAACCTAACAATGCTAACACTAGAGTATGCATGCTGATTTGAGGAGGATGGCTGTATCTTCCTGTTTGGAGATGTTCAGCCCATTTCTGAGCTCCCTGTTCTAAGCACAGAGCATGCAAGGCTGCTTTTGTAAGGGTTTGCTGAGACTTGGGAAGCTGTTGAAGAACAGTATGCAGAATGGGATGTAAATTTAGGTCCTCAGCAGTGCAAGCAGAAGGCTAATGTCATGTTGCAATCCTAATCCACTTTCCATGTACTCTTTTTTTTGTTCCCCCCCAGCTCCCCCAGTTTTCACGCAGGAGCCCAGCGATGAGTCTGCAGATATTGGGGCAAACATCACGCTGCCGTGCTACGTGCAGGGGTACCCAGAGCCCAGGGTTAAATGGAGGAGGTTGAATGGTGCTTCCCTTTTCTCAAGACCGTTTGCAGTCAGTTCCATCAGTCAGCTCAGAACAGGAGCTCTGTCCATTAACAGTAGGTAGACTAAAGGTTTTAAAGAAGAGATGCCAGAAGGCACTATGGCATGTGTAAATGCACTGAAGTTACTACACTACTTGATATAATTGTTAAATTTGTAACAGATCAGATTTTTCATCCCAGATTGTGTTTCTGGTACTGACTTCATGGCTGTTGACATGCTGTTTATTTTCCCATAAGTCTGTATTTCATCATTGGCTTTCCTCTTCTTCATAGGAATTGTGATACCCCTATGTAAGTAAGTGTGGGTTATTGTGTCTGTTGATACTGAGGAGCCATGGATTTTCATTTTTTTATTTTTCTTTTTCTTTGAGAGAAGGGCTTCTAAACATATTTTAGACACATCCTAACTTAGGTAATAACTAGAAATTCTGCAGGTGGTTTTGAGATTTCAGTTACTTGGAGTATTTCAGTCACCCTTATGCTAAGTGATGATGTTTTCTTAATTATCTCTTTTATTCCTTTCTAGACATTTTCAGGCTGGGTGAAGGGCAGTGACTTGTGTGTTATGTACTACTACATGTGTGTCCACACACAGAGACCTGTTGCTGCATGTAGTGAGCAGTATTTCATAGTAAATCCACTATGTGATAGGGTATGTGGGTTTATAGTGTACTGCCCTATATATCAGTGCATACTGTGTTACAGGATATGCAATATATAAAGTGATGAGAAGTATCACATGTATATATGCACTGCTTTTTTACTCAGGGGCTCCTATATAGTCATTGCTTCTGTACCTGGTGGCTGATGTAAAGGAATGATCTAGCCAAAGTTGAATATTTGAAACTGAAAGAGAAGAGGGCAGGATATTAATGTATTGCAAACTTTGCAGTATTAATTCAGACCCTGCAATCTGATCTCTTCTTTACCCCCTCCAGGTTTGTGGGTCAGTGATGAAGGAACTTACATCTGTGAGGCTGAGAACCAGTTTGGAAGGATTCAGTCCCGGCCAGCCACAGTCACAGTGACTGGACTGGGTAAGAGTGGGTAATGTCAGAGCCCATAGTGAAAGGGAAGACTGGGAAGCACTGGCAGACAGGAAAGCCTTTTAGCACCTGGAGTGTACTGGAGGAGGCAATGGTCGGGGGGAGGTTGGGGGAGGGGTTATGTCCATACATGGTGACATATCTCTTGTGCTTTTATCTATAGCTGGATTTACACACATCTAGACATCCACACAGGCTGAAACAGAAGACATTTGCATGGACTGTTGTAATTTATGTCAGTGAATTTCGCATGTTAGTACATTGTCTGTTCACTGGCTACATGAATTTGAATTAGTTCCATTGACACTTCATAACATGGACCTTAAAAAAGTGATTTATCCTGTCTTCTGCTTCTTATTTCTAAGTACATTTAGTAAGGAATGACAAATCACAATGATGGAGTTTCTGCCATTTAATTCGTCTTAAAAACAAATTAAAAAGCAGCAACGAACTTGCTGAGGTCAGCGTGTTGATATAACTGGAATGGAATCTTAGTGGTCCAAGAAGACAGTAAATGTCTAGCTTGGACAATGGCTGTGCTATTAAGGAATTGTTTATTATCTCAGTTGGACAATTGGCAATAAAAGGAAAAATAATGCTATGGAATGTATACATTTATGAGGGGATGAGAATGGAGTCCATCTGCCATCAAAGAAACCATTTGTTAAAACATGTGGTGAGGATCTGTACTGCTGGCAGTGTTGGATAGACATGTTTTACCTATTTAAAAGTGTTATTTAATCCCCATTATTTATAATTAATTTACAAAGCATGTGCACAGAAGTGCTTTCTGTTAGCTTTTTACAGAAGAGGTTTTACAGACTCTTTTCTGCTGGGCTGCTGACCACTATTCCAATCCCTTAAAATTTTATGCCCAAAGGAAATGACCACTTATTTTTTGTGCTCATCAAACCTGCTACTTTTGTTCTGTGGTATTTTGCCCAAGCAAAGCAAAATGGCACATCACTTTGATATCCAGGGAACATGAGTTTTCAGCTAAATGCTGGATAGTATCCAATTTCAGCTGGACAGTATCTTCCATTTACTGCCTTAGAATCACTCTATGTGATTCCTCCAGTTTCATTTTCTTTCCTGTGCTGTCTCACACTTTCTTTTCTTTCTGTCTGTTGCCTGCCTGCTTTGTTGATGTTTCAGATATCACAACACCACCCCTGTTTCTTTGTGTTTATTTTAATTGTAAAATAAAGTATCTTGGAACTCTTATGCTGTTTGTTGACAGCTACTTTTTTTAAAAAAATCTTTTTTTCCTCCCTATTTAAATAATATAGTTTTCATTGTAGGAAATGTTTCTTGCTCTAAATTTGCATAGTACTTAACACAGGGAGACCTTGTCTGGTGCTGCTGCAAGTAGCATTAATGACAGGACTGATAATAAAATTTCAGATTAAATATTTTATATGAATATATGAACATTCCTAATTATATTTTTTTTTCTAATTATTTCTTCTGTTCAAGTTACACCTCTGATTGGAATAAGTCCAGCCACAGCCAATGTAATTGAGGGGCAGCAGCTCACTTTGCCCTGTATTCTGCTTGCTGGGAACCCCATTCCAGACAGGAGGTGGATTAAAAACAGTATGGTGGTAAGGCTGTTTTGTTTCCTGTAAGATTTATTGTCAGTGAAAATCTACAACTGATATGTCAAACCCCAATAATGGTTTTATTTACGGAAGTTGTACAAATATACTGATAGATTTTATGCTTACAAATAGAGACGCCTCCTGAGGTTGGACTGGTCACTGGAATCAAGGCTCCGGTGTCATGGAGGTGAACTGGGGCAGACAGACACCACTGGGCAGGAGCTGCTGCCTGCCCAGGAGCAGCCAGTTGGCCCTATCTGGAAGGCAGTAGCTGCTTCTCAGTTTCTTCAGGCTGTTCAGAGTACAGCCATTCCCTTGAGGAACGATGGCTTATTGCTGTTTAAACTGTGGAAGTGAGGCATCCTCTTGGTTATGCCTCACTGGTCACTCACCACGCTGGGAAATGGTTAATTCTGAAGCACAGGTGAAGGAACAGCAGATGGCAGTGGGGTGTGAAGCTCTAGAAAAGAACTTGGAACCGAAGTATTTGTCAATTGCCCTTTTGTCTTCTCTTTTACTTATTTTCAAAGCCCTTTTGTGCATTCTGGTTGGCTCTTTAATTTCAGCCTTGAATATAGGAATGATAGTTGAATTTACCTACCAGAATGACAAAAGTGCTGAGAATTAAACACTGGTAACTGAAAAGCATTTCTTTTTCCTGGTTTCTTAAAAGTAAAGATATCAGAAAAGTTCTGTAAATTAGGCTTTTTTAACATCATTACTGTTACTGTTGCTGATGTGATAAATGTCAGAATCCCTGTACCATCTACTCCTTTCCTATGGTGCTCTGCTCAGAGCATGAAAGAGCATGTTTTCTTTCCCCCTTCTGAGTTTACTATTGATAATTTTTAACTCCTGCAGACAGGAGGCTGGTGTAGACATCACGCCTGGGTTAGTTGTCTGGGTGAAGTTCCATTTCTTTACTAGGAGCCAAATTACTGACTTGAACATTCCTACGAAGCTCTGCTTTTTGTCTTGCTAGTGTCTTCCTAAAGCCCTTTCTGTAATTAGCTGTAATTAAAAAGGTACAGCAGTTTTAAAAATGTGTTACCACCAAGCAGAACCCTGGCACTACTTGATCCTTTGCTTGCAAGAGTTTTCTGCTCAGTTTCTCAGTTGCTGGGAATCACTGGACTTTTCTTCAGCCCACCACACAAGTGCAAGTAGCACAGGCTGTAACTTCTGTGAGAAATACTGGCAGGATCCTCCTTGTTGAGTTGCTAATTCCTCTGTGTAGTAGTGCTAGTTTCCTGTAATTGTAAGCTCGTGGCAAAAGCAACGCTCCAAGGAAGGCCTTGGTCTAAGTTCTATTTAGAGAAGAATGCAGCTTGTTCTGAGCACAGCGTGACTGGAACAGTTGTGCATTCTGACAGCCTGACTTAAGGCAAGTCTGTGTTGCTGAGCTCATTGATTCTTTTTGTTAGTGTTGCTACTGTAGGGTGCCTTACTTCTAAAACATCACTCGTGAAAGCTACAACTTTTCCTGTCTTTCACAATGGCACACTTCAGAGCTGCTCTACTTGGTGGATAAGGCAAGTTAGAAGGTCATTATGATTAAATTGGGTTGCTGGAATAAGCAATTAAAAATGCAGTGACGTAGTTCAGCTAAGTTTGGGTTTGCTTCAGAGCAGGACATTTGGAAGGTTCAGTGGCAGAGCAGGGCTGTGTCGCGGATCCTATTTTTTCTCCAGCAGTAAATATAAGTAGCTACCAAAACTCTTACTTAAAATTAGCCTCTTATGAAAGAGGGAAGGTAAAAACTCTCCAAGAACATAGAGTTTTAAGAATGTGAAATTGTCAAGCAAGGCTGTGCTGCATTGCAAAGCAAGTATCATCCTCAAGTATGTCCTTCACGGACCCGTTCCACCGCTCGTCCAGCTGGGC